TCAGCTTCCAAGATCATTTGTTGATTGGCCGATGGGGTCTGTTCTGGAGTGAACACATCGTCTTCTAATTCTTCAATTAAATCTCCTTCTAGAGACACTTCCAGTTCTGCTTTCTCTAGCGTGGTAGAATCTGATTCTCGAGGAGTGGTTGCTGGTTCCAATACGTCGTCGTTAGAGATGGTCGCTTCGGGTACCTCAATGATGGCTTGAGGCAGTGAAGCTGTGATTGTCTGGGTCCCTTGAGAAGTCCCTGGAGTCGCCTGACGTCGGGCTCCGGTTGTTGGAGTTGGAGTCAGTTCTTCCAGAGTTTCGACGATTGGTTGAAGAATCGTTGTGGGTGTTGGTGTGATCTCCTCCGTGGGTAGCTGTCCTGTTGAACCGGTTAGATTACGGTTGGTACTGCGACGGTATTCCTTTTTATCTCGATAGCTGATTGGTTTTGCACTCGTGTCAGACGTTTGGGTAGCCCTTCGAAGTCTAATTCTGTCAGCAATAGAGCCCCTGGTATTGTTAACGTCCGGTTCACTGTTGATCCTGACCCTGAGGTTTGGGTTAGTGACTGTTCTTGACGGTTTGGGCATGGATTGGTAGTAATTTTGGAGCTAATTGGTAGACACGGTGTGAGAAGTACTGGTTCAGAGGTCTGGCTTTCCAGAGGGTTTCCTGCGAATGCTTCCGTCAGCTGAGCGCCCTTTTGTTTCCTTATCTCCACCTCAAAGCAGAAGTCGTTCAAGAACGTCTTCCAATTTACCTGACGGGTAGTGGGGTTGCTTGAATCCATCAGCCAATTTAGCGAGGAGCTATTTGTTACTACCGTGAATGGTACTCCATAAATGTATGGCCTGAAGTAATTTAAGGCATACACAACTGCTAGGCAATCGATCTCTGCCGGTGTTCCTGGTTTCTGCATCTCTAAGGGTTCTGGAAGCATATAGGATCGGATGTTCGTCTCTTTCCTCGTCCTTCTGGCTTAAAATTGCTCCAATTCCTTTGGAAGTTGCAGAAAAGTTGACGATGAACGGTTCGCTCATATCAGGGTGAAATAGCAGGGAGTCTTCTGTAATTGCTTTCTTCAGGGCCTCGAAAGCTTTCTCGTGTTCTTCGTCCCACTTGAATTTCGTGTCTTTCCTCAATAGGTTCGTGAGGCTTTTGGATTTTTCTGCATAGTCTTTTACAAATCTTCGGTAATAATTACTGAAGCCTAAGAATCTCTGAACCCCATGTTGGTTTGTTGGTGCCGGCATTTCCCTCAAGGCCTTGACTTTCTTCGGATCTGGGTGAATGCCTTCCTTATCGATGACGTGGCCCAGATAAGCAACTTCCCTTCTGAAGAAACTGCACTTGTCCGGTTGAAGGGAGAGTCCACTCTGTCTGAGGCGACTGAAGAAGTTGTTGAGCCGGTTGACATGGTCTTCTTGAGTCTTTGAGTAGATGACTATATCATCCAGGTAGACATATAATTCAGTGCCCTTTAACCCTGTGAGCACTTGGTTCATCATTCGTTGGAAAATAGGGGGAGAGTTCTTCAGACCAAAAGGCATTCTGGTGTATTCATAGTGGCCTTCCGGGCCAGTAAAGGTGGTTTTTTCCCCGTCTCTCTCGTCCATCTTGATTTGGTGGAATCCACTGGCGAGATCGAATACGCTGAAGTATCTTGCTCTACCCAACTGTGACAAGATCGTAGTAATGTGAGGCAGAGAGTAAGAATCTCCGATGGTTTTTTGGTTGAGTGCTCTAAAGTCTATTACGAGCCTCCAACGTTTTCTTCCTTGGGAATCGCATTTCTTGGGGACGATCCACAATGGTGCGTTATAGGGCGATTCCGAGTCCTTGATGATATCTTGTTCCTTCATTGACTTAATTTGTTTATTGATTTCCTCTCGGTGTTGCTGAGGATATTTGTACTGCCGTCTGAAGATGGGGACCTCGTCCGTGGTTCGGGTTTTACATGTAAAATCCCTGGCGTGACCCAGATCATCTCCTGGCAGATGGAACACATCTGGGAATCGCTCTATTAGTTGGATGACTTGCCTTCGTTCGAATGTTTTGAGATCCTGTTCAGGCAAAGCTTTCAAAATTTCCGCAACTATGTCGGCTAGCTGTTGTTCCTCGTCGAGGAGTAGACTTAGGTTGCAGGAGGCTATGCAGGGTTCGTCTGGCGGTGGATCCTCCAACGGTGATATTATGCATTCGTCGAACGGTTCAAGCTGTTGTGTTGCTAGGTGTAGTTGGAGCGGTTCCTTTGTAGTGTTGATGACCATGGCTGTGGCTGCGTTGTCTTCCACTTGGACTACTGCTTCTCTCAAGAATACTCCGTCTGGTGTGTTCACCTGGGGCAGATAGCCTACTCCTACCTCAGGGTTGTCGATTGGAATTTCGATGACCATTCTTGTCCTTGGTGGTATGAAAGTGAAGTCATTAGGCCTATGATATTCGTACCACGGGATG